TTTTCTCGAAGGTTCAATTGACACCAAAATTATGAAATTTATGTGAGCCAAAATTTAACTTTTGTGTAATCCACTATCTTGAAAATTCAAAAACTGCATCGTGCTCCTTAGTTTTTGGTAAAGATCGGTCAAGAGGTTTCTTCTTGAATAAATTTGAAATTTTGATTTTTTTTATGACTTGGACGAAACTTTATAGATTTAGTAGGCAATTCTCGAAGGTTCAATCATAGATAAAGGAAGAGTATAATGGTTTCTGAATTGTCACCAAAATTATGAAATTTGAGCCAAAATTTAATCTTTGTGTAATCCACTATCTTGAAAATTCAAGAACTGTTCGAGAGATATTGTATGGTAAAGATCGTTTTTGGTAAAGATTGGTTGAGAAATTTGAGATTTTGAATTTTTTTATGATTTGGATGAAACTTTATAGATTCAGTAGGCAATTCTCGAAGATTCAATCATACATAAAAGAAGAGTATAATAGTTTCTGAATTGTCACCAAAATTATGGAATTTGAGCCAAAATTTAATCTTTGTGTAATCCACTATCTTGAAAATTCAAAAACTTATTAGTTTTTGGTAAAGATCGGTCGAGGCGTTTCTTCGTAAATAAATTTGAATTTTTGGATTTTTTGTGATTTTGATGAAACTTTGTAGATTTAGTAGTCTGAAAAAAGATACTAAAATGTTATAAGCTTACCATTAGCGGTTGAATTCATCAAAGTTTAGAATTTTGCAAAGGTATGATCGGTCGAGGCGTTTCTTCGTAATTAAATTTGAATTGTTGGATTTTTTTTGTGATTTTGATGAAACTTTGTAGATTTAGTAGTTTGTAAAAAGATACTAGACTAGTATAACCCTAATATGATCGGTTGAATTATAAAAATTCATCAAAGTTTAGAATTTGGCCGCGGGCTTTAAAAATTCTAATCAGAATCTATGCCAAAGCATATGTGTGTTCTGTATTTCGTAGGTAGCTCCTGATTACAGTTGACGTTGAAAGAAATGAAATATAATTTTAGAGCACGAAATGGATGAAATAAAAGGTGCTGACCACGTGTATTTAGTTTGGGCGTCTTTGGCATATAGGGGATCTGGACAAGAATTGAAATGTAGGGCATATAGCCAAAAATAACTTCAAAAAACCTTCATTTCCTAATGTTTTGGAGGAAAATTTGCAGTAATCTCAGAAAATAGCCTACAGTTGCCATTTTTTGTGGAAAATTATAATTGCTCGGATTGAGCTGATGATCCTAGAGCTTGGGCCTTATGAAGACCAAAATCCTGTTGTATATCTACAATGTAGGATATACATATAATTTTGATATATATTTCCATGCAAAGTTTGATTGAATTGCGCACTGTCTAAAAGTTAATATTAAGAGTTAAAACTTTCAGAGTATTGTTTTTTATCAATTTGGAATTATTTGAGCTCTTGGGAGCAAGGAAATTCGAAAATGTCCATATTAAGGACTACTCTAATATACATACGTATATTTTCCACCTCAAATTATATCATTATTAGACATTTATCGATACCCAGAAATCTCTTATTAAGATTTAGTTACAAAAATGCAATCAGCAGCCTGTAATAACAAGCGCGAGTCTGCATGCAATCCATAATACGGAATAGTATTTTTGGTTGAGTAGCATTTTAATTCTCATCTTGTCCATAATTCATGCGAGCTGAAGTAACTCTCTTTTAACACGACGTGATATATACCGCCGTAATAACTGGAGCCGTGGGGTGCTACTGGTTCCAATTAAGTTTATTTTATATATTCTCCACTTCTCGCCATATTGATTAATGACCATTAAACGCACGCCATCATAAACGATACACACACGATTATTTGAACCAAAATCAAAATAAACTAGTGGTTCATGGCAAACCAAAAAAATATTATTTTTTTACCTGAAAAAATTAGATTTTTGAGAAATTTTAAATTTTTGAACAAAATTGACTTTTTTGGAAAAAAGGCTGTTTGAAAAAAAAAGTTTTCTTTGTTTTGAAATGTTCTGGAATTTTTGAACATTTTTCAAAGCAATTTTATTAGTTTTTTTCAAAAACTATAGTTTGTTTTTTCTTTCACTTTGGCTTGGCTTTTCATTTCTTGTCTTTTCTTATCCTATCCTTAATTTCAATGTCATTATTTGTGTTTATTAACTTCTCGCAGGATAGTTATAATGAGCCGAAAATCGAAAATAAATTTTTTTGCATTTCCCGACGTCTTGAAGGTTTTTGAACATTTTGCCATACCTCAGAAAAAATGGGTGTGTGTCAAAAAACATTCGATTCCTATTGATAGGTAGATGTGCTGATTAGTTTTTGTCAAAGGCAGGCCCAGTCGTTACGGAGATAAGGAGCAAAGAGTGCAAAAATAGAAATCGAGCTTTTGAGAGAACGGAGCATCCGATTTGAATGATCTAAAAAACATTCAATTAGTATTGATTTGGAGAAATGGCTATTAGTTTCCGCAAAGGTAGGCCCAGCCATTTTCGAATACAGAGCTAAATGTGCAAAAAATGGTAGTTTTTAAGAGAACTAAGCATCCGATTGGAATGATTCAAAAAACTGCTTGTGTTGACAAAACAATTACTTTTGGAAAAAAAACTTTTCATTTTTTTTTTGTGATCTCAAATAATTCACATTTCAATTTATATACTAACTTATATACCAACTTTCAATTCATATATTACTTATATACTTCAAATAGAGCATTTCGTTACGGTACGGGAAGTTCCAGCAACTTACCTTAAGGCACGATGCCATACACCACTAGTTCTGTATCATTCTGCACATGTTTGCTATGACATGGATCATATTGTAAATAATATTTAATGAACTCATTAACTATTTGATTTAAATAAAAAGACATAGTATGCTTCTTTTATTTGCATGGTAGCTCACTCATTTTATCGCATTTTTAAGCTTATTTTGAGCACTATAAAATTTTCATATCTAGCCTAATATTGTTCCTAGAACACTTTATGAAGCACCGATTTATTAAGATTTTAATTGATATAATTCTGATCATTACACGATTTTCGTTAAAAGATATATTTTTGAAGATGTTAATAAAAAACGATGAAAACGCAAAAAAGGAGCAAATTTTCAGTAGCCAGTAAAACTTGAAAAGTATTTACTTTTTTGAAAAAAATTATTGAACATTTTTCTCTTATAATTAGTTCTTTTATCGATACCGATGAAAAGAAATGTCATCCCCTGGGAAGTGGCAAAAGAGTCTAAATTATTTTCACTTTTGAATTTGAGAGTAAGATGAACCTAATTTCAAAATTTCATGCAAATTGGATCACGGTAAAAAAATTCTAGCACAAAATGCTCCATTGACTTGACTAAATATTCCGTATCCAATGCCAAACATGATTTTTTGTTTAAAGTAAGGCAAAACACGACTGCATTAGTGAAAAGATAATAATCTGTCAAATTAATTCTAAAGGGTATATTAATAGGTTAGTATATAATGAACATGTTATAATAGGAGCAACGCTGTGATAATCATTACAGATTGCAGCTGTTTTATAAAAATAAATCTTCAAATGATTATATAATGATTAAACATAACAGAATAATGAAAATGTGTGATATTCATGAAAAATACAATTTATTATTAAAATTAAATTATAATTATACTACAATTCAATTCAATGATTTCAAAATTAAATTATTTTCTTCAGCATTGAAATTATTGATCCTGCAAAATAAATTTATATTAAAAATTAAAACTTGCACATAATATAATATTTTAGATTGTAGTATTTTCAATATAACTTCTTTGCTATAACATACTTTTTTTTTTTGCCCCAATCTCCTGCATGCGCTAGGACGAATCCTAGATTTAATGTAATATTTTCTCTTGACCAATCTTCATATTTTTTTTGTATGGCTTCTGGAAATGATTTTCAATAAATTTGAATACACAGATGTTAACTTATACCTCAACATGTTGAGGTATAATTTAACGTAACGTAAAGTTATAATATGATAATATGATATAATACAATATATAATATATAATATGATATACATATTATATATATATATATATATATATATAAATAATATGATATTATAATGATACATACGAATTATAATATTGGACAGATTTAAACCAGTGAAGTTTAATTTTCTTTTCCTTCCTTTAGTTAACAACCGTTGTAAAAGGGCGCGCACTGTCGGCCTTTCATTTAGCATGTTTTGTATGCTATCTGCCAGCTCATTTATCTATTATGAATATTTTTAAATATATATATATATATATATATATATACATATATATATATATATATATATATATATATATATATATATATATATATATATATATATATATATATATATATATATATATATATATATATATATATATATAAATATATATATATATATATATATATATAAATATATATATATATATATATATATTTCTTACCAGGTCCAAAGCAAATTTTTCATTTTTCAAACTCCTATTTCTTTTAGACTCGACTAGAATGGTATCACTGGGATTTTCTCCTCTTCGTCTGAAACTGAAAACATACAAATTTCAGTTTGATTTTCCATCATTTCTTGAAGATCAAGTGTAATTTTCTCCAACATTGTCGACAAGTGATTCAATGACTTTTCGGGCTTATCTTTGCTTGATAAAATGAACTTCACGGTTAATATTTTAATACAATAAAAACGTTGACATTGAAAAATTTAGTGGCAAATTGTTCAAAATAACTTGAAACGTTGAGAACACAAAATTAGCAAATAGGATTTGCTGATAAAAACATATTCTTTTTCAGAAAGTTAGAATGAAATATTGTTTATTAAAGATTTTAATGGAGCAAGAAGTATATTTTTGAGCTATTTTCAATAAGCTCACAATAGCATAGCAAAAATAGTACTCGTATGTACTGATTTAGTACCAAAACTCTGTTTTTCTCTCCAACCTACCAAAAAAAAGAGAAGACTAAGCAAATTGTGCACTTATGTACAATTTCTGATATTATTAAGAAAATAATGATAAACAAAATACTTACTTGCTAATGATTGAAGCTTATCTTCAACAGCTGGCTCAACATTTCCTATTGAATATACAGCTTTTATCAATACATTTAATAATTTATTACTTTAATACTTACTTATTATTATTTTAATACTTACTCGCTAAAGATTGCTCCTCAGTACTTGATGAGGAGGGATGCTGGCATTCCAGGTCTGTTGCGTATTGCGCTTTTTCTTCTTTCCCAATTATTTTTTCAATAATTTGCACATCGGGCAAGTTCAAATCGAAGTTTTTGTTTAATATTTCTAATAGTTTATTGGCTTCACTCTCTGGTATGTTGTTGTTTTTTATCCAATCATGAAGGTCTTTTAAACTATTTTCATTCGTTGATGAAACCATTTCGTTCATTGTACTCATTGTACAGATCAAGTGTAATTTTCTCCAACATTGTCGACAAGTGATTCAATGACTTTTCGGGCTTATCTTTGCTTGATAAAATGAACTTCACGATTAATATTTTAATACAATAAAAACGTTGACATTGAAAAATTTAGTGGCAAATTGTTCAAAATAACTTGAAACGTTGAGAACACAAAATAAGCAAATAGGATTTGCTGATGAAAACATTCTTTTTCAGAAAGTTAGAATGAAATATTGTTTATTAAACATTATAATGGAGCAAGAAGTACATTTTTGAGCTATTTTCAATAAGCTCACAATAGCATAGCAAAAATAGTACTCGTATGTACTATTAATAAAATTAATGTTATATATATATATATATATATATATATTTCTTACCAGGTCCAGAGCAAATGTTTCATTTTCCAATTTTTTTTCAAACATCTATTTCTTTCAGACTTTTTAATATACCATTAATATACCATTAAGCTCACAATAGCATAGCAAAAATAGTACTCGTATGTACTCTCCAACCTACCAAAAAAAGCAGAAGACTAAGTTAATTGTGGGCTTATGTACAATTTCTGATATTATTAAGAAAATAATGATAAACAAAATACTTACTTGCTAAAGACTGAAGCTTTTCTTCAATGTTTGGTTGTATTGGCTGGCTCATTATTCAAGGTTTGGCTGTATTGGCTGGCTCATTATTTCCTATTGAATATACAGCTTTTATCAATACTTTTAATAATTTATTGCTTTAATACTTACTTATTATTTTAATACTTACTCGCTAAAGATTGCTCCTCAATACTTGAGGACGGATGCTGCATTTCAAGACCCGTTGCGTTTTGAGCTTCTTTTTTTTCAATTATTTTTCCGCACATCATTGGGCAAGTTCAACTCAAAGTTAGTATTTAATATTTCTAATAACTTATTGGCTTGGCTCTCTGCTATTTTGTTATTGTTAATCCAATTATAAAGGTCATTTAAACTATTTCCATTGGTTGATGAAACCATTTCGTTCATTGTTCACTGAAATAAAAAACTTCACTGACTATTCACTGAAATAAAAAAGCGGACAGAATCTACTTTTAGCCTACCACTTTTCTGGAGAGGGAAACTCAGCGGTCAGCGACTCTTCTGATTATGTTTATACTATTTTATTATATATGTATATTATTGGGCCGATTCTCGACAAGTTCCCACTTACTTCGTTTAAAGTAAGTCTACACCTGGTTCAATACTGATGGAAGTGATTTGCTTCACAATTTCAGATGGAGAGTGCAGATCGATGACTGAAACACCACAAGGTGTTTTACGTGTGGTAATACGTAAAATTTTCGTTGGCATGCGAACTGGTCCCTGATAAAAAAAACTGGGTTATAAAAGAATCATATACGAGACTAATATGAAATTTGACTTATGACTCAAATATGCCAAAGTATGAGTATACAGCAATCAACTCAAACTCACTTTAACCTACTATTTTATATAGCACATCTCGTAAATGTAGATTTACATAGATCAGTAAATCTGCAATTCATATGCATACTAAGAAAAATAATATAACTAAAAAAAATTCACCTTCACGCGGCTTTTGTTTCTTGGCTCGATTTATTAAATCGGTTAATACGGATGCGATGGACCTGAGGCACCTCATCTGTTGGTTTTTCTAAATCTTTGCCAACTGCAGCCTACAATCAAAATAATATTAATGCAGAGAAAATTTGCACGAAAAATTACTGAGATAACACGTGTATATGTAACCTCAAATCGAACACTATTAAACATAAGGCAAAAAGATTTAATGCATGATATAACGGAACAAATACTATGTATGTATTATAATTACCATTTTTATATATTCTTACTGCTCGAGTTAACCAACACAAATTTTAAATTGGTCAGCGCTGAAGCATTAGATACTCCTTCAACAATTAGATCAAAATTATTATATTGTCTAGGGTCCGTGATCCCAAGTCCCAAGTCCCAAGATCTTGACTCCATGATGATTGCGGTGAAAAGAGATCGGTTACCGTAGGTACTCTGGTTTTATACTCTGGCGAGCAATCCCCACTAGCTCACTGGCCAGTAGTTGTGCGTCTCACTCTTGCGCGGTATATTACAGGCGCCATCTGGTCCCCACAGATACTTAAAAAAACGAACATAATATTATAGCTACATAAATTTGATTATTTTAAATAAATATATATATATATACTAGCCGACCCGACAGACTTCGTCCCGTCAAAAAAAATTGTAATGTGGCGGTGTTCTGTTCCTACCTTTTTTCTATTCTTTGCAAAAAATTATCCTGAACAGAAAGGCCTGGTAATAATTCGGTGTGAATTAAAAATAATTAAATAAAACACTATAAGCATTTAAAAGTAAGTAATTTTAATAATGTGAATCATAATTCAAAAATCAGTTCAATTTTCATTGTAGTGCTTTGTGATAAACGATGTTTTTTGTTTGATTACCTGGCGCATAGACAAACAAATCTGATGGTTTTCCAATACGGGAACAGACAACATACAATTTTCCATGTGAGAAACATCGGTTTTCTAAATTAATACCACAAACACTTAATGATACCATAAACGCACTGGAAACTGTAGTCGTTTAATCTCAAATGGCACATCAGTCGGAATCATTGGGATGCACGGTGCGAGAACATCTTCTGCTTTAAATATAGTATAATATGTAAATGTAGTATAATCCTTTCAATATAGTTGCTTCCATCACGTTGTTTGATAGTTTTTTTATCGCTAACCTTGTGCCGTTGCAAAGGCGCGGTTGGTCAATATTTCGCAACATTATAATTGCCGATCCAACCTTTAAATGAAGATTGTGAGGTGACAATCCTATCAAATCCAGCGAGTTTAAAAACTCCGGTGAGATTGTATTTTGAAATTCAATCTATTTACATCAATGTTTTGGCTGCCAATATAGCTCGTTAATTAATAGAAAGATATTTCTATGTTTATATAAATATATTAAAAATTAGATTATCAAAAACTACACAAAATGTCATGACATAGATCATTGTTTTTTTTTACAAATTTCGTTGCCTACTCGATTAAAACAGAAAAGGGCTGTTTTTAAGGTTTCTCCCGGCAATTATTCGATTTTTCTCGCCGTAAGAACCATCCTTGGACATGAACGAATATTTTAAAAGAAGAATTGTCCAAATTGGTCCAGGCGTTGTTGAGTTATGCGCTTACCAACACATTTTGCGATCCATTTTTATATATAAGATATATATGTATATATATATATATATATATATATTTATATATATATGATTGATTTCTTGGAGGGCGTAACATCAAGTAAAAAATAAGTAAAGTAAAGATTTTTTTCAAAACATCTTTATTTTTCCATACGTTTCGACGTAAAATTCTGCGTCATCGTCAGTGGTTCTACAATTTAAAAAAAGAAAAAAAAACAACAGAAAGTAACGTTACAAATTGAATATACATAAGCAATAGTAAAAAGAAAAGTTTTAACTGAAGAGAATTGCATAAAACATTACTTAGAATGTATGGACGTACATCGAATAGATTTTAAACTTTTTGAGTAAAGCCGTTTTTGGGGAAACGTTGGCGAGAGGTCAAAAATTGACTCATACACATACTTTTTCCAAATTTAATTCCATTCGATTCAGAATGATTAGATAATTATCCATTAAACATGAACATGCCAACAAGTGATTTTCAATGAATATTTAGAATTTTTGTTAAAATTATTCAATTTCAATATCATTCCGGCCCAATACGGTACGGGAAGTTCCTGCAACTTACCTTGAGGCACGATGCCATACACCACTAGTTCTGTATCATTCTGCACATGTTTGCTATGACATGGATCATATTGTAAATAATATTTAATGAACTTGTGGGAGTCGTAATGATTATGACAATATACTAAATTAGAAACTCCCAACATAATAAAAAAAATATAAATTTATTAACTATAAAAATATTTCGATATCAAAAAATATACATGACATGTCCGATTGTTTTTTACAAATCAAAACCAGCCTGCTTGATATCGCCACACACTCCCTGCCCAGTGTTGATCTCACAGTTTAAAAAAAAAAACACAGGGAAACACGTTATAAAAATGTGGTGGGAAAGCAGATTATAGCAGACCAGTGTTGTAATACTGGTTAATTACAAATTTCCATGTTTCGTCAGCAGATCCACCGTATGTGGTGATTCGACCTGCCATCAACTCCATATTCTGCATAAGGTTCTGATTAATGAAAAACATGTGGAAAATTTCCTGTACCTCGATGTCGGTGAACTTCTAAGATATTTCCATTTCTGCAAGCGTTGCATTCGTATCTGATGAGTTCCGATCAGAGAAAGAAGTTGGCTCTTTATCCAAACCAGGATCATTGGTTTCTTTGACATAAGAGTCCAGAATTGTGGAATCCAATAAATTATGTCAAATTTTGTTTTGATTCGTCGTTGTCACCGATAATGAGAGGTAGCATTATAAGACGATTTGTTGAGTTAACAGAGAAAGAGAGGTTGAATTGCATTCCAATGAAAAGTTCAGGCTCCAAATTATTTTTTCTGTCAGCAATAAACACTGAGGTCTGGGTATACCAAATGAGTAACCTCGGAAGTCTGATCCAGATAGTAAGTGCGTTAACTATGATGGATTGGACTGGACATACCTTATAGGTCGTCACTGAAGACCAGTGATTATGGTGCTGCGTCAAAATCAATTTTTCTTAAATCTTCGAAAAATAAAACTCCTTTATCTTCATCTCCATCGTCGTGAGTCACCAATGTGGGAGTCGTAATGATTATGACAATATACTAAATTAGAAACTCCCAACATAATAAAAAAAATATAAATTTATTAACTATAAAAATATTTCGATATCAAAAAATATACATGACATGTCCGATTGTTTTTTACAAATCAAAACCAGCCTGCTTGATATCGCCACAAACTTATAAACTATTTGATTTAAATAAAAAGACATAGTATGCGTTTTTTATTTGCATGATAGCTCACTCGTTTTATCGCATTTTTAAGCTTATTTTAAGCACTATAAAATTTTCATATCTAGCCCAATATTGTTCCTAGAACACTTTATAAAGCACCTATTTATTAAGATTTTAATTGATATAATTCTGATCATTACACGATTTTCGTTAAAAGATATATTTTTGAAGATGTTAACAAAAAACGATGAAACGCAAAAAAGGAGCAAATTTTCAGTAGCCAGTAACTTGAAAAGTATTTACTTTTTTGAAAAGCATTATTGAACATTTTTTTCTTATAATTAGTTCTTTTATCGATACCGATGAAAAGAAATGTCATCCCCCGTGAAGTGGCAAAAGAGTCTAAATTATTTTCACTTTTGAATTTGAGAGTAAGATGAACCTAATTTCAAAATTTCATGCAAATTGGAACACGGTAAAAAAATTCTAGCACAAAATGCTCCATTGACTTGACTAAATATTTCGTATCCAATGCCAAACATGATTTTTTGACACAAATAAAAAAAAAATTCTAAATAATTTTTTGAATAAGTAAGTTTTTTTGTAATGTGATTTAGTGAAGTAAGGCAAAACACGACTGCATTAGATAAGATAATAATCTGTCAAATTAATTATAAAGGGTATATTAATAGGTTAGTATATAATGAACATGCTATAATAGGGGCAACGCTGTAATGATCATTACAGATTGCACCTGTTTTATAAAAATAAACCTTTAAATGATTATATAATGATTAAACATAACAGAATAATGAAAATTTGTGATATTCATGAAAAATACAATTTATTAATTAAATTAAATGATAATTATATTACACTTCAAATTTAAAATTAAATTATTTTCTGCAGCATTGAAATTATTGATCCTGCAAAATAAATTTATATTAAAAATTAAAACTTGCACATAATATAATATCTTAGATTGTAGTATTTTCAATATAACTTCTTTGCTATAACATACTTTATAGTTTTTTTGCCCCAATCTCCAGCATGCGCTAGGACAAATCCTAGATTTAATGTAATATTTTCTTTTGTACACCCTTTGTATTTTTTTTTGTATGGCTTCTGGAAATGATTTTCAATAAATTTGAATACACAGATGTTAAATTATACCTCAACATCTTGACATCTTAATATGATATTATAATGATACATACGAATTATAATATTGGACAGATTTAATCCTGAGAAGTTTAATTTCCCTTTTCTGCCCTTTGCATTTGCTTTGCTGCAAATAGTTTAGCCATATCTTTGGTCTAAGGGCGCGAACTGTCGCCCTTTCGTTATTTGGTATGTTTTCTGCCAGCTCATTTATCTATTATGAATAGGTTTAAATATAAATAAATATATATATATATATATATATATATATATATATAAATAAATATATATATATTTCTTACCAGGTCTAAGGCAAATGTTTCATTTTCCAATTTTTTTCGAAGATCTCTATTTCTTTCAGACTTTTTAATGGTAAAACTGACATTTGCTCCTCCTCTTTGTCTGAAACTGAAAACATACAAATTTGAGTTTGATTTTCCATCATTTCTTGAAGATGAAGTGTAATTTTCTCCAACATTGTCGACAAGTGATTCAATGACTTTTCGGGCTCATCTTTGCTTGATAAAATGAACTTCACGATTAATATTTTAATATAATAAAAACGTTGACATTGAAAAATTTAGTGGCAAATTGTTCAAAATAACTTGAAACGTTGAGAACACAAAATAAGCAAATAGGATTTGCTGATAAAAACATTCTTTTTCAGAAAGTTAGAATGAAATATTGTTTATTAAAGATTATAATGGAGCAAGAAGTACATTTCTGAGCTATTTTCAATAAGCTCACAATAGCATAGCAAAAATAGTACTCGTATGTACTATTAATAAAATTAATGTTATATATATATATATATATATATATATATATATATATATATATATATATATATATATATATATATTTCTTACCAGGTCCAGAGCAAATGTTTCATTTTCCAATTTTTTTTCAAACATCTCTTTTAATATACCATTAATATACCATTAAGCTCACAATAGCATAGCAAAAATAGTACTCGTATGTACTCTCCAACCTACCAAAAAAAGCAGAAGACTAAGCAAATTGTGGGCTTATGTACAATTTCTGATATTATTAAGAAAATAATGATGAACAAAATACTTACTTGCCAAAAGTTTAAGCTTTTCTTCAATGTTTGGTTGTATTGGCTGGCTCATTATTCAAGGTTTGGTTGTATTGGCTGGCTCATTATGTCCTATTGAATATAGAGCTTTTATCAATACTTTTAATAATTTATTACTTTAATAAATTATTATTATTTTAATACTTACTCGCTAAAGATTGCTCTTCAGTACTTGAGGAGGGATGCTGGTATTCAAGACCCGTTGCGTTTTGAGCTTCTTTTTTTTCAATTATTTTTCCGCACATCATTGGGCAAGTTCAACTCAAAGTTAGTATTTAATATTTCTAATAACTTATTGGCTTGGCTCTCTGCTATTTTGTTATTGTTAATCCAATTATAAAGGTCATTTAAACTATTTCCATTGGTTGATGAAACCATTTCGTTCATTGTTCACTGAAATAAAAAACTTCACTGACTATTCACTGAAATAAAAAAGCGGACAGAATCTACTTTTAGCCTACCACTTTTCTGGAGAGGGAAACTCAGCGGTCAGCGACTCTTCTGATTATGTTTATACTATTTTATTACATATGTATATTATTGGGCCGATTCTCGACAAGTTCCCACTTACTTCGTTTAAAGTAAGTCTACACCTGGTTCAATACTGATGGAAGTGATTTGCTTCACAATTTCAGATGGAGAGTGCAGATCGATGACTGAAACACCACAAGGTGTTTTACGTGTGGTAATACGTAAAATTTTCGTTGGCATGCGAACTGGTCCCTGATAAAAAAAACTGGGTTATAAAAGAATCATATACGAGACTAATATGAAATTTGACTTATGACTCAAATATGCCAAAGTATGAGTATACAGCAATCAACTCAAACTCACTTTAACCTACTATTTTATATAGCACATCTCGTAAATGTAGATTTACATAGATCAGTAAATCTGCAATTCATATGCATACTAAGAAAAATAATATAACTAAAAAAAATTCACCTTCACGCGGCTTTTGTTTCTTGGCTCGATTTATTAAATCGGTTAATACGGATGCGATGGACCTGAGGCACCTCATCTGTTGGTTTTTCTAAATCTTTGCCAACTGCAGCCTACAATCAAAATAATATTAATGCAGAGAAAATTTGCACGAAAAATTACTGAGATAACACGTGTATATGTAACCTCAAATCGAACACTATTAAACATAAGGCAAAAAGATTTAATGCATGATATAACGGAACAAATATTATGTATGTATTATAATTACCATTTTTATATATTCTTACTGCTCGAGTTAACCAACACAAATTTCAAATTGGTCAGCGCTGAAGCAGTAGGTACTCCTTCAACAATTAGATCAAAATGATTATATTGTCTAGGGTCCGTGGTCCCAAGTCCCAAGTCCCAAGATGTTGACTCCATGATGATTGCGGTGAAAAGAGATCGATTACCGTAGGTACTCTCGTTTTATACTCTGGCGAGCAATCCCCACTAGTTCACTGGCCAGTAGTTGTGCGTCTCACTCTTGCGCGGTATATTACAGGCGCCATCTTCTAGTATTGAGGTTTATGAGTACGCCATCTGGTCCCCACAGATATTTAAAAAAACGAACATAATTTTATAGCTACATAAATGTGATTATTTTAACCCTCCGTCGGTCGGCGTGGTCTGGCCAGCTTTTTTCGACTTCAATTAAAAATAAAAAATACTTCTAGTAATCCTATCGACTTGAAATTTCTTGACTTTTCCTAAAATTTCATTAGCTGTCGATCAATGAAAAAATCAGGACGAAAAAATGTACAGAAGGATAATTATAAGGATATTAACTTTTTATACTTCGAACGGTCGGAAAGGTCTGTCTAGACCACCCATACATTTTGTATGAAATATACGCTTTTTGATATATGTAAACCAGTATTTTGTCTTTTTTCATGGTATTTTCTATCCAAACTGCGTTGTTTATATTCTTTGCTATGTGTTGTAACATGAATGTTAGTATTTTCATGACGAGAGTTCTTTGAAAACCTACCAAACTTATTGGTAATCGCAAACACTGAAAATAGGATGAGTAATGCACACATTATCAATAATTTTTTTACCCGTACTGCGTTCGAAATTTTTTTTTGGCAAACCTGTAGTGAAATTATATTTTCACTTTGAGTTTTACAGCTCATTTCAAAGGCGACGCACCTCATTTCGTTTTCATTTGAATTTCACATTCATTTTAAAGGCGCCGAAAAATAATAAATATTGTTTTTCATTGATATAAGACAGAAAAATTAACAAAAAAAGCAACGAATTTTTTATATTTTTGATTTTTTTATATAATATAATATGTAATATTTTTATTATAAGCAAGCTCAACACATGCAAAAGACGGTGAGAAAAAGAAAAAATCAAAACTATAAATATTTACTACTAATAATCGTTAATATATAAGACACCAAAAACTCATTTATCCCATATAAATGCATGTAAAATGAATGGTGGTCCAGCCAGACCTTTCCGACCGTTCGAAGGTGAAAAAATATCCGACCGACGGAGGGTTAAATAAATAAATAAATATATATCTACTATAAATAAGAGTAAATGTACATATATTTCGTACTGCGCCGAATTAGTTTTTTTTGCTCTTTTCATTTGCGCAGCACTGGCCATTTTGTACTGGCCAATTATCTAATAGTGTTGGCATATACTCAGTGCTGGGCGCGGGTCTAGGGCGGCACAATTTAGGGGGCTCGATAATAAATAATAACAAAATTTTAAATTCGATAAAATGTCACGACAATTCATTTTAAGATCCTAAACTTTTTTTGTAAATTTAGTGATCATTTTCTATGAAATAAAACGTATAGACGTACATCGAATAGATTTTAAACTTTTTGAGAAAAGCCGTTTTGGGGAAACGTTGGCGAGAGGTCAAAAATTGATTCATACACATACTTTTTCCAAATTTAATTCCATTCGATTCAGAATGATTAGATAATTATCCATTAAACATGAATAGCCAACAAGTGGTTTTCAATAAATATTTAGAATTTTTGTTTAAATTATTCAATTTCAATATCATTCTGGTCCAAAGCCATCGGTTCAGAATTTTTGGCGAAAACGTGAACAACAAATTTTGCACGTTTCTGCTAATTTTAATGAAATGGCTTTGTCGTCGTGCAAAATTGATGAACGCTAGTCCTAGTCCTACATCGAATAGATTTTAAACTTTTTGAGAGAAGTCGATTTTGGGAAAACGTTGGCGATATGTCAAAAATTGACTCATACACATACTTTTTCCAAATTTAATCCCATTCGATTCAGAATAATTAGATAATTATCTATTAAACAAGTGGTTTTGAATGAATATCTCAATTTTTTATTAAAATTATCCAATTTCAATATCATTCTGGCCCTAGGCCAGCTAAACTAGACATACTGATGACCCCACGAGTTGAAGGTCGTGCGCAAAAGCGTAAAGTTTTGCAATAAAACGGCTAGGTGTTTCTTTCTCACCTCTCACGCAGAGATAGGTTGATAGGCTGATGGGTTGATGGGTTGATGGGTTGATGGGTACTCCACAACATTCTGTATGCGTTTTTATTACTTTTCTTCGTGCCTTGATATCTACTCTACGTGAGTTTACGCGCCGAAGCCGCAATAATATCACACGCCCGCCGTCTGACGCGAACCGAAAGGTAAAGGTAAAGTTAAGTCTGCATGAGCTAAAGCCAATTGGAAAAATTAATGGATACTAATCTTTCTTAGTTGGTCCAAGATTTTTGCTCTAACATCCTAGGATATCATTCTGAAGTATGTGCCAATATGTAAAAATATTAGAAGATACATTGCTTGATCATACATAGGATAGAACGGGCCACATAGGTCCAATTTAACTTTTATTTTGAACAACCTATGTTCAGTAAAAGTCTCACATAATTTATCATTTTAAAAATACATTTCTTTGCTATTCTTCAAAATTTTGTCACCTGGTCTTTTTTACTCCATAACCTGGATAATAAGAGACAGTCAGGGTTCTCTTCATCATTTTATTGTTAATTTTAAAGAGGTTTTACGGAATAATTGCTACACTATTTTATCAATGCGATGGAATTTGATTATTAAGTTGAGTCATAATCTAAATATGTATTTTTGAACATAATAAATGAAAATCTTCATAAACTGTCATAAATCTTACTTTGGTAAATATTTCTGTTTATCACTCATTATTTCTTGAAATAGGGTTAGGAGGCACTCATTAATCACATGATCGATTTTTAAGAATTTTTGGACCCCTCCTCTCCCTTAGTGATACGTGGTGATATTTAAAACTATCTATTTAATAGATTTATCATAAATATATTAACTAATTTGTTATTATTGGACAGTAATCATATGTAAATCTGCAAACTGACATCACTGCTCTTCAGGTTTGTCCAAGCGGGAATTGAAACTGGAATATTGTGGCAGCAAGTTTTATAAAATGATGGGCCGATTCTGCCGCAAAACAGACTAATGTTATGGCAAGGCCATACGGTTCAACTTCCATACATTATGCTACTGGATCATACTGAATACTGTCAAAATATCATGTATCTGCTGTGCATTCAGGCGTTTTACACATAAACTGCAACGTCACTCGTATGTTATGAAGCTAAGTCAGAAATACCCTGTTATCTAAGATCGTTTTTTTTGACATTTGTGTGGTTTCTAGGTTAGGTTTTCTATCTGAGAACCTGGAAAAATCGCGTGACTGCACAGCAACATGGATTCTGTCAATATTTAGAACGAATTTCTATGAAAAGTTCTTCATAACATAGCCTTGCCATAACATTTGTCTGGTAATATATTAAGTAAGCTCTCCAATATCATATAAAGCAAAAGTATAGTCATAAACAAGATTGTCTTAAACGCTAAAAATTATATAATTTTTAGGGTTATAAAATGATTTATTTTTGCACATCTCGACCTGCCTTTACGGTATCGAAATAATTTATTCCCATTAATTATTTGGAATGTTGCGTTCGGAAACAACATTACCTCGTAGATTATGATAACGCTCTCAACGACCGCTTGAATTAGTCTAGTCTTATGATAATGCAAGTAGATAAACGTCTTAGGAATATAAAGATATCTTTAACACGTTTTAATTTTATAGCATAGTTATTGCTATATTTTGAAAAATAGTAGCTATTAAATTTTACGATACATGCTGTGGCAGCATATACAAAAGGTGTTGTTTTTTTTTTCAAGTATATATTTACAAGGCAACTGCCTTCAATGTTGGCTTTATTTTGGCCTGGCGTTTCGGGTCTGGAAAAATCATCTAGGTGTTTAACCTCCGCCCATACATTAGGTTGAAACATGAATCAGTAGCTAAATTTGCGAAATAGTATCCACATTAAAATCATTTGATAAGTATCATACAGGCAATATCCCACACACGAAGTAATATCTTATAAAACACGGAAATGGCCTGCCAGTGAACATTGAATTAGCGTTAGCTGCCTACGACTTCAGTAGATTATATTCCAATAAACGGCCACCTTGTTTAGGAACTGGTTTTGAGATAAATATAATAATAATTTAACAAATAATTAAAAAAAATTTTTTTCAAGTTATGCCAAGACCGTAGTACCTACCTACTCCTACAATTTTGATAAGATTTCTCATGCTATATAATACTTCTGAAAAGCTCATTCTTTAGACTTCTGATTCGCTTATTATTAGAGTGAATTAGATGGACGAAAAATTGTATCCATACATACATACACACACATATCCATTTTTTTGAGGTATGCCAAAATGTTCAGAAACCTTCAAAACGTGAAGAAATGTAAAAATTTTTAATTTCGACTTCTTGAACGATTACAATAACTTACCCTACGGGAAGTTAGTAATACACAATTATATTTATTTACTGATTTTTTTACATATTGAAAATTTCTTTATTTAAATCTGAAATAAGTTTCATTTTGATTATATTTCATTTAATTACTATATATTTTTATATCTCAGTGGGTGCAAGTTCTTTTGTAAATTAGTACGAAATCCTACAGTACATATGGGCCTTTTAAAAGTCTCAACTAACTTCAATTTCTTATTTAAACTGTTAGAATTTTTGAGTAAATTTTATCATTCGTACTTCTTCATCATCTTTGTTTACTTACGAATAAATATCAATAATTCAACTTTGAAAAGCAGTTAATTACAATTAACTATCCAAGTTTTTTATATCTAAAATACAAGACAGTTGATCATAATGAGTTTCAACATAAAAATAATTTTCTACCAACGTTTGTAATTCTATAAAAATTCTTCTACGAACCAAAACAATGAACAGGCGCCAAAGTGATTTTTATTATGTCTAAGATTTAATCATAATTACAAATTATGTGCTTACGAGAATGAAGATAATACTTTTTACTGAAATAACACCCATTATCTAATT